GTAAGCGGGCAAATCCCAGACGACAGGGAAGTGATGGCGATGCGGGAACGCAACCGGTGTCAGGGGGAATGTACAAACAGAGACGGGAAGGTCAGCGGTCGGGCCCGAGATCAAAGCGAGCCGTGGCTCGGGACAGAGCCGGCTAGCCGGAAACCACCGTCATGAATCCCCGAATTCTTGCGGATTGGGACAGGCAGCTCTAGATATCGACCGCGAAGGTGCCAACCTGTGGATGACTATGCTGACACCAGGGCCAGAATCGAATCATGGAATCGAGCCAAGTGGGAAATGCTTACTCCACCGTATTCGGTAGTTGTAATTCAGTAGTTATAATACTTACCCCCACCTTATTCGGTAAGACCGATTGGCCAAGTGGGAGCTAAAACGAGACCGGTGACGTGGAGGAAGGAGCGCGGTCGGGGGTCCGAGCCACGACGTATAAATAGTGGGAGACGCCCCTCCTCAGGAGCTTTTGTAAAAGCGACACCCGCTGAGAAAGGTGTAAGTGCGTGATACGGTTACTGTTGTAGTAAACGTTCTCTTTTGTTCAGTAGTGCCAAGGGAGAATTTATGTATCGTATTAGAGGTTGAGTAAAACGCTAGTTCATGTTACTTCTTGTCTTGTCTTCTCTCTATAGTCTCTTGCAGAACCTCTACTTCCGTAGTGCGCATAACGCGTCTACAATATATATATGAAGAGAAAGAGAGAGAGACAGAGAAGAGGAAACAGAGCGAGAAAAACGGAGAGAGAAAGCGAGAATTAAAGATATAGAGAGTTAAAATGATTCTACACAATACTGAAATTTGAGAGCCGCGCTTGAATAACGCACTAGAGCAAACCGCGCGACTTATACATGAATGCTCGAGGTAGTCAATCTCGCCGTATGAGGGCGCTCAAGTTTCCGTACTTACGCCATAGTTCGTCGACTCGATGTTTAGCTGTAATCAACAGTGGCATTTTCGACAACGCTAGTCTGCCATGCGTCATTAGCATCTTAACCAGATACCCCATCTTAAACAGCTAGTATAGTGGCGCACAGCAAAGCATGCGCCTGTATCCCGAGAGACGGGAGCGAAAAGCGTAGGACGCTGTGCGAAAAAATCGTAAAAAAATCGCTTGCGCTTTGCGTTTATCGTGGCGAAGACTCATCTATCGGACTTACTCTCGCCCATCGTAAATCCAACGATAAAATCTGATCTGCGCTTATTAATCCTAAGAGCGCGTCGACACTTGATTAGCTTTGCCGCGTCGGGTGGATCCAGGGATGGCATGAAATGACAGTTCAGCGTACATGGGCTTTTCCGTCCCCCTCCTCCTCACTGGCGTTGCCACATGCCGCGTAATCATGCGTGGTATAATATATATATATAAATATTTATTTATTTGTTTATATATATATGTATATGCGTATATATATATATATATGTCACTTTTGGTATGATAAGATGCTTTATATCTTTATATGTTGTGCACTTATTATGTCTCGATCGATGTATTCGACTTCGATGCCGTCGGGTTCACAACACATTTTTTGTTTGTTTCTAGGTTTGGGTCCGACGATTGTTTTGTATGAACATCGACCCATTATCGCCCAATAATTTATTAGACGTGAGAGATGCGTATGCTTGCAGTTCCACTAACGACATACACGTGTTGAAAATTCTCACCGACGAATCATTGCAGCATCCACGTCAGGGTGCGTAGATCAAGTAAGGCATTTTCGTTAAAAAATTGCAAGTTTATACTTTACACTTTTTTCTTTTATACACGGTGTGTGTGTTCGGCACAATTGTTATAAAAGCTCGGCGCGTTATTTTGTGTGCGGTATAGGCGGTGCAGTATTTCCGTATCACGGCTATGATTGTCACATTGCAGGCCATTAGCCAAACCGTTGTCACCGTTGCTATAAAGGTTGTGAGGCATCTCCGAGAATGCGCGCAACACCTGCGCCACACGCGATACACTGACACAGTACGAATTGAAAGAGGACGATACAAATATGTAGACGGAAAGAAGACGTGGTTTTGTGTGTGTGCGCGCGTGTAATTCTACAGGTAATAGCCGGTAATATTAGATCATTCTAAGAGAGGAATGCTCACCGATGCTTCGCTGGCGGCGTCAGCAATTTTTTACCCTTTCTTGTCATTTGCTCGGTTGTCGCTCACAATTTGTTTATGACAGCGAGTTATGTTTAATAATTTTGCGTGTTAATATCAAACGAGGGTTGGGTAAAAACATTGCGATATATTACTATTTAACACGCGTGATTACGTTTGTATGACGGTTCGCCGACGCGTTTTCCTTTCTCAGTCACGCACTTGTCATCATTACAATCGTGATTTTTCATATACACTATGGCTGGCAGAGAGCTACTACAGGCTAGTCCACACGATGAATCGCGTATTCTGCCCGTTTAAAAAAAACACTTGTCGCGGTGTCGTACATAATTACGTGAATTGTATACGAAAAATAATACGAGAAATTAATAGCAAAAAAATAATTAAAGTTTTTATCACATGCGCTCGAACCACCCGCGTAAACACCCGAGAGTAAAACTATACCACGTACACAATTACATAGTATTTTTCGATTGATACTAACTTCATACGTTTAATTATTATGAGATACATCTGCAGCGGTAATAATATAACACTCCATTAACTAATCAAATATGGTGACATTAGGGGAGCCCATGGAGTAAGGAAGAGCTAGCGGAGTGCGAGAGTTAATGTAGCGTAGTCCTACTTTACCGTTTAATGCGCTGCATAGTAAGGCGAAGGGAAAATGTGAACAACTTGTTCACCCATACACAGCTTAAAGATTATATTTTCTCCTTGCAGAGAAAGAGAGAGAGAGCGAGAGAGAATTCCTGTGAGAAAGAGAAGAGACAGAGAGATATGGAGAGAGGGGGAAGAGAGAGAGAGAGAGAGAGAGACAGAGAGAGAGAGAGAGAGAGAGAGAGAGAGAGAGAGAGAGAGAGAGAGAGAGAGAGAGAGAGAGAGAGAGAG